GATTTATTTTGTACTTTGTACTATGGCTAAATTTAGATATCATTTTCCAAATAACTGGTGATAAGCATAATATAGATTTATAACTTGTTGATATAAAATGCCAATGTGTCTCATGGTATTAAGATGATAATTAAAAATCATGGGGCCCTTTAACAAGCACGGGACCCTGGATAAATGTCCCATTTGTCCTCTCCTAACCCCGTACTGCTCGTGGCTCAAATAGGGAAAAAGGAGAAAGGGAAATCCTTTTCATAAATATAATACTTATTTAATAATAAAATAATATTTTTTTAGTAATCTTGATAGTATCTTGGGGGTGGAGGATACGCTACTAATCCTTCTATTTGCAGAATATTAAAATAATTAATTTATGAATAAATTAATATCCTAATGATTCTTATGTATTTCATTGGCACGTAACACAACATTAATTCATAAAAATGGTCCTTATAGTACAACTTACTTCAGATTTATCACAGATTAAACCCTTTTTGACCGGAATATTAGCCCAGGGAAAAGGATATACATACAAATTGTGTTGGTCCTTGAATCGATACAGATTCTCACAATAATTTTTAAGAGTATTTAAGAACTTTTTTTTTAACATTTAATAAAAACCGTAAAAGTAACAACTTTACTAGAATATTTCATTATTATAAATATACAATCTAGTTTTTAATAACAGATTTTTGATGAATTTTGTGTAGGTTTTTTAATTGATAATATTTTCAATTATATCGTTTTAGTATAAAGTTAAGTAAATCATATTTTATTACGTACGTTTGTTGCGCTGATAAAATTAGATTATATTTATTAATTGTAAATATGTCATTATCGGTGGTATCACTAATTCTAAAATGTAATATAAATATACTTATACACTTTTATAAGCATATTGTTTTTTTTTTTTTTTACAAGGTATTCATTTCTAATTCAGTTTATCCCTAATAAATGGCCTCTTGAAATGGCTTGACCCACAGTTTCCCGACTCTGGATCAGCTCCTGAAATAATATCATCAATATTTATGTGTATATTCTTGTGAATATGAAGCAAAGCGAGATCGGTGAGTTACTCTCTCATGTTTGAATGACGACATGTCTTAAGGGGATTGGAGCATAGCATGTTTTAAAGAATAATATTTAGGCATTCCGTCTAGCATTTATGCTTAAGCTGTGTAAATGTATGAGAAGTAAATGAAGGTTAGTGTGAGTATTTCGTTTTCACGTCACCGCAACTTGAGAGTAGAGAATGATCCCATATATTTGTAACAAATTATTAGAACCCAAATCAGTGATTATCGGTGTCGTGCGTAGCAAGTATGTGGTATAATATATAGACATACAGGTAATGGATTGACAATCTTATCTAAAATAAGTTATCTTTCCGTCGAAAGTCGAACATTTCCGCAGATTTACTATATTTATATTTACTCATCAAAAATATTATATCAGTAAAGTGTTTATAACCGCTATTAATATTCTTAGAAGTTGGATGGAAATAATGATTTTATGATCAAGTAGTGATGTAAATGTAAATAAATATAATATGTTGTATAACATTTTTATTGCAAGAAAAAAATCTAATCGAAAAAAATTAAAAACGCAATTTATGCATTGTTTAATTTTTAAATAAACACGAAGGACCTAATATTGATGGTTTTTGTGAAGGGGTTCATGATCCCCAAAACCCACCCCCTTGGATCCGCGCCTAATTTGCAGTTTATTTCTTATTATCAACTAAAATAAATATACATTAGAATATAATTAACAATATTGAAAGACCGAATCTAAACTTATATTTCCGTACATACTTCAATATGCTCTCAATTTTTTTGACTTATCATTAAAATACTGTATTTAAAAAAATTATTTTTATCGAATTTAAGTAAACATTTGTGTGCAAATAGGCATTTAGAAATTATTAATTAGAAATATTAATTTGTACACTTTATTAATTATAATTAATAATAAACTAGTAACTCCATTCTAATATATATTATATTATTATTTTATTTTTGTCAAAAGTATATAATCTAAATAAGGTCATTAATATAAAAAATTGTTTTATCTTAAATTCAAGATAAGAAAGAGATATTATTATTATTATTATTTGTTTTTATTTTTTAATTTTTATTATTATATTATTATTATTATGGAATTACCCAATGGTGACGGGTTTAAGTATAAAAATGTATGTATTGTTGTTATTCGGAAATATTAAACATTGTGTAATCTATATAGATAAAATGTAATTAAAATTGTTCAAATAATATTTTATAATATTAATTATTTATTGAGTCAATGATTACCATTATCTGTTCTATTTAATTATGGCTTTCGGCCACGACTTCGTTTGCGTCGTTCTTGCAAAGATAAGGGATTTGATATTGGCAAAATACTAAAATAATCGTAAATAGATACGAAATCAGGTATCATGGTTGACAACATGCTGCCTCTTCCATTGCTGCATACAAATGTTGATCATCTTCAAGTAATTCTAGAGTCTTGCAGGTTGATTAAAAAGTGGTATGTAACTGATTATTTACAGTTTTCAACGCTTGAAATGGCCCCGGATTTCATGAAGAAGCATCGAAGGTGATACCATTTTTTATTGTTAAGATGAACAGTATATGAGAAAACTCATAAACTCTACCCAGAGAGTGCTTTTTTTAATATCAATCTTCAACGTTTACTCTTCCTTCTATAGAATTTTTTTTTATTTCAAGTTTAGTATGGAAAAAACTTCTAGGTAAAACAATATTTTTGTAAATTTATCAACTTTACACAAATCAAAAAAATGATTAAAAATCCAACCAATAAAAACATTTTTACCCCTTTTAACCTCCTTAAGGGTTTAATTTCGCAAAATGAGGTTTATAGACTTATGATTATTTTTATATTACAAAGTATGCTATTATGTTATTAGGTTTATTTACGTATATTGCTATACGTAAAATATGCTTAGTGTCAAAAAATTTAACCAAAAATAAAACGTTTTTCATTTTTACCCATTTTACTTCTTTAGAGGTTGAATTTTAGTTAGAGGTTAAACAATGAATTAATAATTATTAATTTAAAGTCATCTCATAGGAATGTTCAATTGGTACCATAAGCGTGCACAAACATTACTGGCAGGGAGTCATACACAAGGTCTTATCTAGAAATTTTTTTCGAGAGGGTTCCAAAACATGTATATTATAATTTTATTGAATTTAGATTTTAACTTATGATATTTGGTTAAAAATAAGATAGAAAAAAATGTAATCTTCTTTTATTAAAATTAACATCATATTTTCATATGATATTATGATAAAAAATTAAAAGCAGTCAATGATTAATTGGAGCTTAAGTCATTTTTGACTGAAAATATTTATGTTGTTATTAAAAATAAACAAGTATTTTAAATATTCGTAAAATATTGAAGAAATTTCGAAGAGGAGGTCCAGACACCCTGGACCCCCCCCCTCAAATACGGCCTTGGTCATACATAATATAATAGCATAATAACATATTAATAACAAATCTGGATGGAGTAATTTGATTTAACTTAATAATTATATATTTATATTCTTATACATGTATTGACCGTTTACGGATGTTTGAAGCGGTTGAACATAATATGATTATTTATTATTGTAATAATATTGAATATTTTGTTAAAGGAAGGAAGGTAAACAGAGTAGTCAAGTGCCTATCCTGACCAAAGCCGCATTTAAGGGGGGTACTGGCTACAACTGCCTCAGGTGCCTATTTTTTGGGGGCAACAACATTTTGTGGTCGAAAATTAAGTGAAATTATGTGAATTATTGAACTATTATAATTATTTTGAAATTATTATTTTTTTTACTTTTAATAACAGTATCATAAATTAATGTTAATGTATTTATAGCAATATAGCTATCAGCAATCTATAATATTATTAATATCAGTTCCCAAATTTGTTGTGTTAATATCAATAAACATAAGTTATTTATAATAATACGGCGTATTATATTATCATGTGCGGCGTGTGGTGGTGTGCATATTATACAAAAAATAGCATTGATTTTAGAATATCTAAAAGGTTCATGAGGATTTATCTTCTATATTTTCCGTGGATAGGCCCCTTAGATAGGCACCAATATTTTATTTATTGCGCCGGGGCTCAAAATTACTAAATACGGCACTGATCCTGATTACCCCGTTCGCACGCTTATGTTTGGTATGCTAAGTTTATATAGAAATAAATACTTCTGCAATTTTATTATAATTACAATACATAATGTGCATAATATAGTAACTATAAATTATAATCCCAATATAATTATGTAGATATATATATGTTTGGTATATTACAATTGAACATATTTCTATGAATATAAACGTGTACCTAGGACAGTCAGTATAATCAATCGGAAAATTTTTTTCAGGTATACAAGAATAAATTTAATTAATAAGTTTGGTTAATAAATAGTCAGTGATGTACTAAGGGGGGGGGGGGGAGATAACCCCCGAAATTAATGGATGATTTAATTTATTATGAGAAAACTAAAATTTCTAGTACCTGTATATTAATTGTACTGTATTTAGGTATAACAAATTATCTGAATTTTCTCAAATTCTGAATTCTGAATTATAAATATTATTAATAGTACAGCTTGTCAGCTTACATTATCTAATGTGGGTACCTATGGGAATATGAGTATTTCCACGAAGATATTGAAGATATGGACGTGGACGATCGGTGTAATTATTATGACAATCTTTTTTTTTTTTTTTTATTATATAATATATCCACGGCTTCTATGGCCATTGGACGTTACAATTTTTTTTTTTAACTTAATACATAAAATAAACAAATATATTGGTGCAGGTTCGTTACAGGAGGTTGATGAGGTGTGTATTTGTGAGGAATTGGCAGAACTTGACGATATTGTCTGGTTTGGGGCTTAGTGATTCTGCTAGGTGATAAGATATCTGCTGTTTAATTCTCTCCATATTGTGTGCGTTACATTCGGTGATTATATGTTTGACTGTAAGAGGGACTCCACAGCATATGCAAATGAGGGGTCCTCTTTTTTTATTAAGTGTGCGTGTGTAAGACGTGTGTGTCCGATTCTGAGGCGGTTAATAGCTGTCTCGTATTTTCTTGGGGTGTTGACAGGAAAAGTCCAGGGTAGTATTGATCTTTTAATTTCATTAAGCTTCGTGGTCATATTGTTCCATTGTGTTTCCCATTGTTGACATGTATCCCTTTCGATGACCTTTTTTATATCGCTGTAAGAGAAGAGGTAGGAGTAGAGAATATTAGTATTTGTGTAAGCTTGTTTGGCGGCCTTGTCCGCACGTTCATTACCATCGATGCAACAGTGACCAGGAATCCATGAGTACGAAATGTTTTTGCCTGATAGATATGCTTTATAGTGGGCGTTATGAATTTTCCTGACTACTTCGGTAGAATTTTGGACATTTTTAAGACTAGTAAGAGTAGATAGTGAATCACTATAAATTGTGATATTGTTATTATTTATTTCTGAAATAGTGTATTTGATGGCTTTGAAAATAGCTAGAGCTTCAGCTGTATATATGGAGCATTTTTCCGAGAGTCTCCATTGGATCTGGTTGTCATCATGAATGATGGCCATACCAACTCTGCCCTCCGAGAGAGAAGCGTCGGTATATATTTGTGTATGAGTATGAGTTAGTGAGAGTTTTTCCTTGAATAGGTTTTTAAATGTGTTGGGGCATGTGAACTTTTTTGGAAATTGGTGCAGGTCTAGGTCAATATTCATTGAAAAAGACCAATGTGGACATAAAGGGGTTTCGGCCGGAATTATGTTTTCGAGATCGTATTTTGTGTATATATTATTAGAAGAGTATTTAGGATGATATGTGCTGTCTCGTGGCAGTCTTGACATTTTGGCTGCTTTTTTGGACGTTTGTTCTTCCCATCGTGTTGCTAGAGATGGAATGCCTGCTATTGCATGGATGCTAGGAATGGGGCTGGAGTGGAAGGCGCCGATGGATAGACGAATTCCCGTGTTGTGTATAGTCTCCAGTGAATTTAAATGAGAAACTTTGGCAGTGGACAATAAAGGAGCCCCATAATCCATTTTGGAAAGGATAAAGGCTTTGTGTATTTTCAAGAGGGTAGAAGATTGGGCGCCCCAAGAGGTGTGGGCCAGTATTTTTATTATGTTAAGTCTGGAGTTGATGGAATTTTTTAAGTTTTGGATATGTGGAATCCATGAGGCTTTGCTGTCGAATGTTATACCTAAAACTTTAACTCTAGGTTGATCTTGTATTGTACGGTCTCCGATGTTGATGGAGATTTTTTGTGATTTTATTTTTTGGTTGAAGATTAAGAGGTTAGTTTTGGATGAAGAAAAACGAAAGCCAGACAATTTAGACCAAGACATAAGCTTGTTAGTTGAATTTTGTATACATTTTTGAATAAGAGCAAAGTTTGTGCTACGGCAGAGCAGGGTGAAATCATCTGCAAATAGCATTGGTATACAATAAGGAATTCCTTGTCGCCACATTTGTAGATATTCGCGGTACCTTCGATTTCGTGAACATACCTACCCTCATCATCTATCTTCTTTCATTAAATGTCCCCTCTGAATTCTGTAATGTTTTGTCCGCTCTCTTCAATTTCAGAAAACTCGTTTTCTACTCTCCCTTCGGATCGTTAAATACTCGATCCACTTTCACTGGCCTTCCTCAGGGAAGCTGCCTTAGCCCAATTTTATTCAATGTTTATATGAGTATTGTTGAAAAGCATCTTTCTCAGTCCGGTCATAAATGTCTCATTTATGCTGATGATTTAGTTATATTCTCTTCTAATAAACATCTAAACCTCGCCATTCATAGTCTCAATTCTGCCCTGTTGGATCTAAATGATATCCTAATCAAAGTCTTTCGATGTTGCCCCTGATAAATGTAAATCGATCATTTTCACTCGTCGTAGGTATTTTAACGATCTTAATACATATCTTAACAATTGTGTTATCCCTTTCGTATACAGTATTACCTATTTAGGCATCACACTCGACTCCAAATTGCGTTGGATTCCACATATTTCATCTCTCACCGCTTTTGCCTCTCGATGGTCCAACTTCCTCTGATCTGTAACTGATACTTGGTGGGGCTCTCATCCTTCATGTCTATTATCCATATATTTGTCTATTATACGTTCCAAACTCAATTACGGTTGCTTCCTTTTTGGGTCGGCTTCCTTTTCTAATTGGAAAAAAATTAATTAACTCCAAACCTCATGCATCAGAAACATTATGGGTTACGTTAGTTCTACTTCTTGCCCTACTATGGAAGTTGAATCTACTTGCCCTCCATTTAATATCAAATGCCGCTGGCTTGCCGGAAAATTTCTCTTAAAATCATTATCCTATAGCGATCACCGTATTTTTGATACTTATTACTCACTGTATCTTAACTGGCGATATGTTTCTAAATCTACGCCTGTATAATCAATTATAGCTCATTCTATCTCAAATTTCCACCAATATATTATTAAATCTACTAAACTCCCTCTTTACGAGCAATCCAACGACTCCCTTATTTTTTCCCCTCAGATTCATTATGATAATCAATTTTTAGATCTATCATCCAATGATTTTAAATCTATGTCTTCTTCCTCGGTCAATGCAGCTGTTTCGAACTTTCTTAATGAACGCTTTTTTAACTTCACCACAATTTATACAGATGGATCAGTCTCCTCTCTCAGCTAGATATACGTTCAACATTCCTGATCTACAACTCTCTTTTACCAGTAACCTTCCTCCTACGTCTTCTTCCTTTACAGCTGAGTGCTATGTCATCACTGAAGCCTTAAAATTAATTCAAAATTTTCCCCCAAAAAATTACTTAATTGTCTCAGATTCTATGTCGTGCCTCCAAGCCTTAAATTCAAACCCATTTAACTCTCATTTGTCTCCACTTATCCTTCGCATTAAGTTCCTTATTTTTACCTTAAATCAAAAGAACTATAACATCAGCTTTCTTTGGGTTCCTAGTCACACAGGTATACATGGTAATGAAGTTGCAGACCATCTCACTAAATCTTCATCCAATCTCATCTTTCCTTTTTTTCCCCTACTCCCGCATTCAGACTTCACACCTTTGTTAAAACAACACTCTAACAACACTTGGCTCTCTCTCTGGAACAACCTACCTGCAGAATTCGCCTCAAGATACAGAAATATTACACCTAATATCCTAAAAAAAACCTGGTTTCACAACTTACACTTACATAGACCATATATTGTACAATTTAATAGGCTACGTATAGGAAATCACCTTTTACCCAGCCACTCCTTCAATCTTGGCCTTAATGATTCTCCATTCTGCACATTTTACCTAAATGAATGTATTTACAACTTATCCCATATTCTATTCGACTGCCCTGCCCTTCAAACCAAACGCATTATTCTAGTTAACATATTTAAAACTTTAATTCCCCTTTAATATCTACTACATACTAAACACAAAATCCACTACTGTCATTAAATTAGTAATTTCCTTCATATTGGATGCTGGCTTTATTATATAATATAAAAATGTTATGTATTATGTTGTATATTTATAATTTATAAATGTTGAGCGATCATAGTTTTATACTAATAGCTAATAAATAAAAAAAAAAAAAACCTTTTTATTTACTACATCGAATTAGTATATATATATTTTTTTTACTACTTAATTTTTATTTCCACAATCTGTTACATAAATTTTGAACAATAAGTGAAATTGATGAATTTGATAATTATGGTGTGAAGGACGGATTAAAGATACCTTCCAGTGAAGGCATTTTTACAGTTAAAAATGTAAAAAAAAAATGAGAAAAAAATGTTAACCAATAATATTAGGAGAGATAAATAGGAATAACAAAAGTAGATATAGAAAGAAGAACAAAGGGTATTAGATTAGTCTAGACTCTAAAATAATAGGTCCCTACACCATCGCCTTTTCGACCTTTTTTGTGGGTTGCCGAGTATATTTATAGACGCAAGTTCTTTGATTAAAGGATTTTTATGGTTTTGTAGGTTGAAGTTAAAACGTCTGTAGAAGGTCTTAGGTACATCGTTGACAGGAGATATGTCTAAGTCATTATATAATGTATGATTTGATACGTAGAAGGGTGCTTTGATTATAGTGCGGAGGACTTTGGACTGGAGAATTAGTATTTAAAATTGTATTTAGAATTAGTTTTCGTATGGAATTAGTAGACAATATGCTGCTATTTAGAATATTTAAGAGGGTTATTTATAACTTATTTTAAGAGGGCTTAACTTTAACCCTTCTCCACCATACATTAATTCGTCATTGATAAACTCAACCTTCAATATCTAGTTGTATTTCAAAGTATAAAAATAGCGGGTCTCTATTATATTCAGTTGAAGACCTTTTACATGATCGAATATCGGATTAAATACATCCAAATTTGACACTAATACAATTATCATATTTTTAAGCTTGAATAGTCCTTCTTGGCACCATTCACCTCGAGAAGAGAAAAAAATGTTTAGTTTCATATTATTATCGTACATCGAACTTTCGAAGTGAAGCATATTATTATCTATCCCTAATATAATTGCAATTATGTAGTACAAATTTTAATAACGAGAGTGCGCTTTTAATCAGTATCGCCAATAGTGCACATTTTTTTAATTTTACACTTCCCACTATTACTTGTATAAAAGTTGACTTAAAACTATCTTTGAGTCTGCAAAATAATAAGAGTATGCTGACTGCCCTATCCTAGTAAAGAAAGAAATGACGCCACTGGTATACACCTTAATCGATAATTATTAAATTCAACATATTAAACAAAATAAAAAAATCTAAGTAACCAAAAAATTAAAAATGTATATATTCAGTCTAAAAACGTTTTGACCCTTAAAAATGTGATTTTCAAACAGAAAGTGATTGAGTGGTATTTTAATTATGTAAAGCAATAATAATCACCAAAATTGGCAAGATCCACATTCATTTCAATAATTAAACAATGTTTTCATAAAATAAAGGATTTTTTGCATGGAAATAATAATAATAAATAAAAAATGTAATTATGACAAATAAAATTCTTCTTATTTTAAAACAACTATTATTTTAAATATAATTATACTTATAAAAACGTAATTTTTATTTTTAGAGTATGTTTTAAATTAAAGAAATTGGTTAGTTTATACTTTAAGAAAATATTAAGTAATTGACCTAGAATCAAAAATGTGTGGCAATTAACACTGGCCAGTAGTGACTTCAAATTAATATTAATAAAAATATATATACGGACGTTATGTATACAATACGTATGTTCAACTGTATTGCTCAAGGTCATTTATTTAATAAACATTTTCAAACACTGCTTCAGACTATTCAAATCCATATTAGTATATTATATATTATTTAAAATTACATTTTATGAAAATTGAAGTGACCGTTCTGAAAATATGATAAGCTCTCTAAGTATATATTTTAAATATCACGTTTTCCCATATTTTGTGTAAGTATGGATAAATAAATTGTATAGTATATAAATTCTCAAAATGCGTGGAGAAAGATTTATGAGGGAAACCAAACAACTTGTACTTATAATTTCAAGTTTTACAATGTAAACCAAAAGGGTAACTGCATAAAAATCGACAAATAAATTGCATATACCTTGGAAATATCTCATATATTTGGTTTTAATATAACATTGTTGATTTCTGTTTCTGAAATATTTGATATTATTGTGCTATATCACGCGTTTATTTCAATCGATTTGGGGAATAACAGTTTAAAATTATCGGTGCATATTACTTGCGTCCGAGATAATTATCAGTAGGTAATTTACGTCCCACCAAAAAAAGGTTCAAAAAAGGTCATAGCTATTTGCGTCCAAAAGTACCTTTTGAGACAGCCAAGTTGCGTCCCAGCACAAATAAGTCATAAATATAGCATAAAATAGGTATTACAAGTAATTAATCACATTTAAATAAATACAATTATACAAACTATTTACAGATCATGTAACAACATATTTATTATTATTAATAAAAACGGAGCAAATTGTCAAGTGTCAAAAAAATAGAAAATTAGATAAATAACCAAACTATAAATTACTTATTTAAAATAATTTTAGTTAAAATTTGAATGAAACGTTTTTTAAATATATAAAAGCAGAATTGGTTTTTCTTTGAATTTTTTATTTCATTATTTAAATAGTCGATTTTTTGGTATTTTTTCCCTTTAATCTTTTTTTTTTTTGGGTGTATTTACGCTATCCATTAACACATAAATACTAATTTGAAATGATTTTAAAACATTTATAAGTTGATGTATATTTGGATGGCTTGAGTAAAAAGATTAATTGAATTTGGAATGAAATGCTTCACATGTGATTGTTTTCATTGTACAATAAACGAACATTGTGCTCATATCTTGGAGAAAATTGAACATTTTCAGATATATAATTGTTTAATATGTAGTCAGTAAATTCTAAATATTTTGCTAGAACGATTGGAATGATTTCATAGACAAA